TATTCACCGAATGCAGGATTTAAGATTAATAAAGAAATACTCGATAAACGATTGAAGGAACTTATTAAGATAGGATTCGTTTTAGATAACAAAACGGTTTTGGATATTTTCAAAATTTATAAACATAGATTAGGTGAAGTCGGTGATCTTTTTATAAATTCCTTTATTGAAATATCAAACATGGAAAAAGAAAAATTTATCTCAAATCTTTTAATTGAATCTATGGGAATGGAAGAAAATGATCAGAAAATATTTGATTTCATTTCTAAATATCTTCACAAATCGCTTTTGATAAATATTAATTTTAATATGGTTTAGTTAATTATTTTTTTTTATATAATTTAATGAATTTATTTAATTTAAATATGATAAGATTTATATGATGTTACAAAATTATGATAAGTATAAATATGAATAAAATATGAATAAGATATGAATAAAAAAAACTCGAAAAAAAAATAAACATGTTGGTTAATGATGTTTTGATCATGATATTTATGTATCTATATGATATGGACGTTTCTCTCTTTGATTGCGTTATGGTTTCATGGGATTGGGTATATCTCGCAATCCCGATATTATGGAAAGATCCATTCAAGTATTATGATAACAACAATGATTCTTTGAGAAAAGTTATTTGTCATGATTTAGATGTAAAAGATTATTTCTATAAAGATGATATTCCGATAAAAGAATATTCTCTTACTCTCTTTCCATATCTTGAATATGTGAAAAAAATAAACACATATCATATAGAAAAAGTATTTAATAATCAAATATGTGATGAAAATCTCATGGTATATATTATGATTGGGTTTTTATTCGTTACATCAGATATTATCGATGATATCACCATCGATTGTTGTTTTCATAATATCGAAGATTTGAACAAATACATGGAAAATCATCGTGTTCATCTGAGTCTGTATAATAGATGTTTAGATTTGAAAGAACTTGAAAATCTTGATAATCTGAAAAGTTTAAGCTTGACAAAAATATCCTTTGAGGATAATTATGTCTTTTTGAAAAAACTTGAAAACATGGTAAATCTCGAATTGATCAATATTCATAATAAGAGATTAATACATGATATCATCAAATTACAAAATATTAAATTTCTCACATTAAATAATTCTATTCATGACATTGATAAATTTATAGTCATCATGAAAGAAATGAAAAATTTGGTTTATTTGAAAGTAATTTCTTTTGATATTACTGATGACGATAAAAAAATATTATTTAACGAACGTAAAAAATATCAAAATATAAAAACATTGGAGTTTGAGATAAAAAAATATGTCTTATAATTTTTATTTATGTAATATTTGTTATTTGAATAAAATTCATAATTTATAAATATCTTAATTTAAGTATGGTGATTTAATTTTAAAAAATAGTAGCGATTACTAATATGATACCAATACAATTTCTTTTTATATTCAATATCATTTAATGAATATTCCGGATAATGAATTGCGTAATCATTTTGTCTTTCGATATCTTGTTCAATTGGAATAAATCTATCTGGGTAATAAATTGTGTTATTATTTTTCTCAAATTCTTTAAGTGAATATTTATTATTATCATTAAACTCATTAAAAAAAATTTGCTTCCCATATTCAAATTTATCTTTTTTTTTAATGTTTTCTTTTTTAATCATAGATGAGGTTTTTAGAAAAACCACTTCAGTATCGAGATCATAAATAATTTTTTTATATTCATTTTCGAGTTTGGTGTTTTCGGATTCAAATTGAATATCTTCGTATTTAATAGAATTATCTTTTCGATCATTGTTGATAATTTCATTTTTAAACTTGTCTTTAGTTTTAATTTTGAGTTCACCTCTTTTTTTTCTGATTCCTGGAATAGAGAATTTTTCTTCAAATCGTACCCTAATTAAATCTGCAAGTCTCTCATAATACTGTTTTACATGTAAAGATTCGTTTCTCCAAGAGTTAGCAATGACAGGTGAAAATGTTGTCATTGTTGGAACTTTTACATTTTGTGATTTGAGGTTATTAATATAATACTTGCGATAAATCATAAAAGAATTAGATGACATTGCTGGAACAGTGCCATCACGTTTTAATTTAACAAATTCATCAAGGTTTATCAATGGTGGGAATGGAGGCCTCTCAAACAAAAGAGGGTTTGAATGTTGCGTATGATCCATTGATGAATTTATCGAACAGCATGAATTTACTTATTTATATTTTTCTTTATTAATGATATTATAAATTATTTTGTAATCGTATATTATGATAAAAAATTCTAATAAATAAATTGATAAATTGGAATTAACATAAATAATTAGATTATTATTAATATTAAATTTTATAAATAATTAATCTTTTTTTTAATAAAGATGTGGAATAAATATTAACTTGAATGATGAGGTATAATATTCCTACTGAAATTATCCTCTTAATTCTCGAATATTATGATTTTGTTGATTTTGCGGATTTTAGAAAGATCAGTTCAGTATCAAGATTATTTTGCAAACTATGCGAAAAACTTATCATCAAGATTTTTCTTATTAATGAAAATAACATGAGATATAAACCGATTTTTAAATATCAACTCTTGAAAAATAATATTAAATACAATATAAGTAAAAGAAGACATAGTAATATAAGATCTATATATTATAATTGGAGGTAAATAAATTTTATTATCTATATTAAAAAAGAATAATGATGGTTTATTTTACTTTATATTTTATAGTACTCTCAATACTTGCATGGTATCATATGGAAGTTCTTATTATAAAGCACGACGTGTTGAAAAAATAGAATATATCATCCCTAAAAAAATTTTTTATGATAGATATCTTAAATTCTCATACATGATTAAAAACATAAACGAGAAAGAAAAATTCGAAGTTTTCCATATAATTAGTAACAAAAAATTTTTAATAGATGGTGAAAGAGGGTGTCATGGATTGGATCTTTGGAAATTAGGAACTATCGATGATGATGATTGGCATCACTGTCATGATCTTAGTTATCATTTCACAAATTTAATTTTGAAAAAATTATTGATTTTCAAATATCTCAAAAGTAAAAATGATAAAATAAAAGAAATGTATGAAGATTTATTTAAATGGGAAGAGTTAATTATTCAATAAATTTGTTTAAACAAATAAGTTAATTTAGTAAATTTTAAAAAAAAGTATATATAACTCGGTAGCATTATTATTTTTTTTATTATATTTTTCTTGAATTATAAAAAAAAATGTCTAACAAGGAAAATTTAAAAAATCCAGATAGTTATTTGGATTATTTCATAATTGATAAAAAAAATAATAAGGTAAAATGCAAAATATGTAAAAAAGAATATAATTCTTACAGTGAATTAGTTCTCCGAAATCATATTTCTGTAAGACATCCTGATGAATGGGAAGAATTGGAAAAAAATGATTCTGATAATAAAAAAAATAATTATAAAAAAGATAAAATTGGAAAGATAAATACAAGAACAAGCATGACAACTTATGAAAATAATAGTGATAATGATAATAGTGAAAAACGTTACATTAACGGAAATGATGATGATAATGATAGTGAAAGTGATGATGAAAAGGATGATAATGACGAATATCAAGAAATTTTATCAAATAGTGAAGATATTAATTTTACCTATGAATGTAATGCTGTTATCATGAAAATGCAAGATGGATTCGAAATAAAATGTCAAAGAATGGTTATTAAACCAATTTCTTAATATTTATTATTTATAATTAATATAAATATCCATTAAAATTTAAATTGATTAAATAAAATAGATATTGAAAAATCAAGATTCGTTTCTAGAGAAAAAATCAAAAGAATATTTAACGATATAGATAAAAATAAAGATAATAAACTTTCAAAAAAAGAACTTTATAGATATCTGAAAACAAATGTTTTAGGATATTTCAATATTGATAAAAAAAATAATGTTGTTCAATGTAAATTATGTAAAAAAAAATTTATATCACCTATAAACATATTTATCGCTAGGGAACATTTTTCTAGAAAACACTTAAAAGAATTGAATAATTTAGAAAAGGATATCAATGAAAGTAATAAAATTATCACTACTGAAAAAAGTATTATTAGAACCCGTAAAAAAAATAATTATTTTACTTACATATGTTTTGATGTTGAGATATCAATATCGAATGGTTGTAAAATACAATGTAAAAAATTGATCATTAACCCTATTTTAAATTAATTTCTTATTTATAACCATTAAATATTTCTTATTAAATAAAATTTCTATACTTAAAATGTCTGAAAATGATGAACCTAAAGAAACAATATTAAAAAA